TCTCTCTCTCTCTCTCTCTCTGTTATGTTTTATTTCTCACTTCATTTCGTCGTTTCTCTCCAAATATATAAACCATAAAAAAGATAACAAAATGTAGTTTTGGCACAAAAATCTAATTATGACATAAAAAGAGTATTTATTTGTAGTGACGGTTGTGTCTGTCTCTCAATCTATGCCTCTATAGGTCGGGTGGATGTGGAGCCGGAGCTGATAGACTCTGTCATATCGACGATTGGCAGCAATTTCTCAAACCTCAAGTGTCTGTCAATACGGTTGCGAAACTTTGACATCGATGTGTCGACTCCCGCGGACTTTCTGTTCGACCAGTTGGAAGAGCTGAGCCTCCAGTTCGTCACCGGCAACGTTGACCTTCCCTTTCAGCGCATTATAGGCCTCGGATGGACGACAATCAAGTGTCTCACCATTCAATACGCGTCGCTAACCATCGAATCGGTCGACGAGATTGTCCGCCAATTACCGCAACTCCAGAAACTCGTTTTGCACGCCATTGAGTTCCGGTGCGATCATCTCAGCAAAAGGTTGGCACTTGTCTACACACTCACAGACACACACCCGACCCCCTCCCGGCCTATTATAAACATGGCACTTCATGTTTGCAATTTGTTTGTCAGTTCAACATTTGGTTTATTTTTCTAAGCCTTTAATAATGAATTTAATTTCTCAAGAATTAGTGCATTTAGGAAATGATAACGAGTTATAGTTATAATTAGATTAAATGCAATTATTTCGCAGTATTTTTGAGTATAAATATTGTCGACAAAAACATCTTAATTAATGCCTCAATACATAAATAGGCAAAACACGAGACAAACATTTACATTAACTTAATTTCATAAATGTAAATAAATATAGTCCTACAATAAATTAATTTAAATAAAATAAATAATTTTGACAGACATTTACTAAATTTGTCTAAATATGTCAAATAATTTTTCGCATGCATCACATCGTTATGATAACAGTCAGTAAATATGATAACATCGGCACAAATTGTTGAGTCTATAATTAAAATCACAGAATATTCTGTACGGTATATAACAGTGTTATGTTTGATGTGGTGTAACGACAGGTATGGTCACCGGCTGTGCGTTGAGTGCGGGCGTCACTGTTGGAAATCCATGTCTCGACTCCAGAAACTGAAACATTTAAAACTTCATCGCATTATAATCGACGACGAGATCTGTGCCGCCATTCAAACCATGTCTGAATTGCGTTCACTTGACTTACATTATTGCTCTAACGTTAACGAGAATATAGTGGATGTGTGCACCCAATTAGCCAAACGCATACCACGACAACAATTCACACTCTGTATAGTTTCGCGCGGTTTCCTCTCATTCAACAACAGCTATAATAAAAATCTTGTTCTCGACATTAGGGTCGCCGCATAACAATGCAATTGTATTTCATTATGGTTATTGTTTTTTGCCCCTAATTATCGGAGTGTAGGCCTCGCCCTTCTATAAGAGTATATTTACGGGAAACTTCATGATAGCATTTCGTTATTCTTATATAAGTCGGCGGTTTATACTCCGAAAGTTAGGGTATGATTACTATTAAATTATAATGTCTCATTGTTATTTATAACAAACAAAAACAATATTTATTTATTTATTAATTGATTATTTTTGAAAATACATTTCAATAATAAATCATTTGTTATTTTATATTATCATTTGCTTAAAATGAATGTAAATTAAAACTATAAACAAATCTTTAATTCATTTGTTAAAGAAGTTAAACATTTTTTAACAAATTATGTAAATTTTTAAATTCTTATTATGTTTTTAGAGAAAGAGAGAGAAGAAAAAATTGTTTTTCAAATAATAATTTTAATGACAATAAAATTGAATATAAATTATATCGATTTAGATTATTGATCAATATACTTTATTATCATTATGTACTGAAATGTGTTTGCATGCGTGCGTAAATTTTGTCCCTGGTCATGTGTAAATGTAATAAATAATTCATGTATGTGTTATATACTAGTAGTAAATCTAATGTTAATGTAATGACAATTTTAGTGAAAATTTTGGTCAAAATCGATGGATCTCTTCAATTGTTGATAGGATTGTTGTTTTGAAATCTACTTATCATTATGTCCCTCAATTGAAATACAATGTTATAATTTAATACTTAATAACGTGTTTTAATAATATAGATCCGTTTGTTGTCGTAAATTTATATACTATGCAAAGCAGTTTTAAAAACAACATCATAAATATTTAATTTTATTTATTTAAATATATAATGTTTTGTTTATTACTCGTAAATCAATTGTATTAACAATTAATGCAATACTACTAATGATAAAACTATTTTTATTAATGTTAATTTTCAATCATTGCAAATGCATCAGAAAGCACCACGGGTAGAAACGATTGATTTATTCGAGGTAATTATAACGTTCACCTTGATCATCGATAGAGAATAGACTTTTAAAATGTATTTATTATTTTATAATTTGAAAGATTTATAAATAATGTGTTGTAACTAATAAAATATATATTTTATTAAGTTTGCAATAAAAAGTTTATGTTGGACATAGCAATTGGCATAGTTTAATCTTGGATATCACCATGAACGGTACCGCACACCAAATCACCATGCTCGCCTTTCAGTTTGGCGGTCACATCGGCTTCAATCTAAAGCATAGAATATAATTTTGCAACAAAAGTATAAAAACAAATAATTAAATAAAACTGACAGTCGGGGCGGCGGCGGGAATAGTGGCCGGGTATACGAGTTTGTGTGTCTCGCCCTTCTTGAGCGGGCATTTCATGAAATGACAGGCATTCTTGTCGGGCGCGGGGATCGGGAGCTCCAGTTCACCGATTTTGGCGATCAGGTCGAGCTCAGCCGTCGCGCTGTCCTGATCTGTCAATACATACCATAAGATGACAATTGTCTTATATATGCAGATAATGGACAACAAGTGATAGTCTACTCACTGGCGACGAACTCAACGGTGACCGTAATGTTGGAGCCCTTATGAAGGGTACAGGGGTTTGTCGTACAGCCGGTAATCTCGAAATCGGTCACTTCGTGATGGGCTGTAGTTTTGTTACATAACGCATCAATTGTTTGGTTAGTTATTTAATTTGTAATATAATTTATGTCAATTAATAGTAAATACTGACCGCAATCCTTGTAAGGGAGGCCTTTGGCGGACACGAAAGCCACCAGAACTGCTAAACACATCAAACGATACATGATTTTTGTGTTAGAAATTGAAAATTTAATTAATAATTAAATTTATTGACTCTAATGTGTAGAAACAGACTCTATTTATACTGTTTTTTCTTTTGGTTAAAAATTATTATTTTTAATAACATGTGTTTAGCTTTACGTCTAATCGTGTGTTAAAGGACTCTAAAACGGTATCACAAATGAAGCAATTAATCTATTGATGTATTTTGCGATTAATTTTATGGTATTCCTTGTGAACCGAAGACTGGATCCGATGATAATTTATTTGTTTTCTAAGACTCAATCAGGAACTGGTTTTTATCACTTTCTCGGATACTATGTTTAATTTGATGATAATTTTTAGGCAATCCTTTGTTGAATGGTATACTTATAAACACAAAATGCAAACATATCATTAATTTTTATATATAATAAAAATATTGCATTTTATTTCTATTAATTGTGTTTAATTTGTAAAGATTGTTATTTACACCTAAATAATATCTAAGGTGTGATATGTATACAAATGTAAGTTAGTGTATTGATATGGAAAACTACCCTATTGTATATTCATTATAACAGGTGTAGTTATTCTGTAATTTTCACATATTCTTGTTATTTTGTGTTACAATTGATTAAATTATTTTTTCCCAGCATTTAATGGATTATATGTTAAATAAAATTATTGATTATAACTATAAAGGCATTCAAATTCAATGCCTTGAAAAGTGCCCCATATTTGCAAATAAAATATCCGGTAAATTATGTTACGGACAACTGTTTTCATTAAATACAACCAATAATACAGTATAATATCTAATCGATGATTAGACTTTGCTGATTGTAGGTAAAAATAGTTTTATTACAATTTATCATGATTTTAATGAACATATTCTACAGTATGTGAGCATTACTTGAGACTATTATTATTGTCTATTTAATTTTATTGAGTGCTTGCTTATTTAAAATAGTATACACTCTATTTAATAATGAAAGCATAGCTCAACTATTTTATAATAAAATGAAAATAATTATTTAAAAATCGATATTAGTTTCAAATAATTGAAGTGAAATACGATCTGAGAAATTGGATATTTTACATAACTTTTGTTAATAAACATCATGTTAAAAATATTATAATTAACTACAGTACATTGTATTATAAACAGTATAATTAATCACAATGAACATGATAGACTCGAGCCTAAACAATGCCTAACAATGTTAATGTGATTAAATTTAACGCTTAAATAACCGATAATAGTATGGCATTGAATGCAATGAATTATTAACCATAAAATATCAAATTACTAAATGAAATGCCAGACTATATGGCAATCATTTCCTTATAGACAGACAAACATTGTGTGCAAATTTTAAACCAATAAAATCTATTAATAGAAATAATAATTAAAAGTTAAATAAATAAATAAAACATTTATAAAACATAACTGAAAACTAAAATAAATCACAAGTTTTGTTAAACTGACGTTTTATATGACATGTAATGTAAGCGTAAAAATCAAAACAAAAACTCAAACCAAATATTTTGCCACAAATTTTCGTCTCAAACACTGAACTGAGCGCTCATTTAGTCCACAATTAGTCCACAATTAGTCCACAATTAGTCCACAATTAGTCCACAATTAGTCCACAATTTGCATCATTTGATCGCAAAATAATGCAAAACGAGTCCAAAAGCGGTGACAATAGTGTCTCAAGTGAGGAGTCGTCCAAATTGATAGAGTTTTTGTGCGAAATCAATAAATTAAAGCATTTGGACAGAAAGGGATGGACTATTCAGGACCGCGCTATCAATAAGCCCGAGACCGTCGCCGGTATGTCTGTGCGCTCACCCGATGCCACACAAGCCCTGGCACTGACTGACAGGACCTGTGTTTGCGATACAATTGTATTTTATGACCGTTTCTGTCACCCCTTCAGGACATATGTACCGAATGGCGGTAATGGCAATGTTGTATACGCCCGACACCACTGACACACTCGTCGACCGGAACCGATTGGTGAGACTGACGCTCATTCACGATATGGCCGAATGTCTGGTCGGAGACATCACTCCCTTCGATGGCATATCCGTTGACGAGAAACACAAACTCGAAAACAATGCCATGAATTACTTGGGTATCACTTTCTCTTAGCGGTGATAATAACCACGTATTGACTGTTTGTCTATTCATCGATAGTGTCGTTATTGCCGGCGAAGAGTAGCGAAGAATTCAAGGATCTGTTCGATGAGTACGAGAGACAGGAGACACCCGAAGCCAAGATTGTCAAAGAGTTTGATCGCTTCGATGTCATGCTTCAGGCCTTTCAATACGAACAGCTCGAGTACGAGACCAAAGGCCGTGTGATTCGCTTCCAAGAGTTCTTCGACAACGCCGTCGGAAAGATTGTGTCCAAACAATTGGTTCAAATGTGGGATCAGTTGAATGAAAATAGAGCTCAATTCTGGTCTAAAGTGCAATCCAATGGCGAACCAAAATAATTGATACATTAGTTTAATGATTATTCTAGTAATTTGTAGGGTTTTGTGCAAATTATAACATTATTTAGAAAATAATATATTATAAATATTATTAGTATTATTAGTTTTTTAGCAATTTTTAATAGATTAGGTTTTTTCAATTTATTTATTCAGATTTAATTGCTATTTATAAACAGACTTTTAAATAATTATTTTAATTAGTTATTTAATAATAATCTCATAAGAAATTAACCCAAAATACGGTACAAATTAAAGCAAAGGAATTCCATTTCCAATAATATGCTAACAAATAATTCAAATCGTAATCTAATATAATAATCCAATTAATTATTTTGTGACTTTAAAATAACAAACATTTCATACATTTTTGCATACCATTAGTGAATATCATTCTAAATAAACAAAACAAGTATTTTGTATTCAAAAACACATTTTATTCATTCATTCAATAATTCAAATAAACATTTGTTTTTGCGATTAATACCAGAAAAACGTGAGATTATTATAAAAATTGTTTATTAATTCAGTCAATAATTTCCAGACAATTGAAAAATTGTTACCCAAAAATTGTTTGTATTGTTTGTAAACAGTGTCTGTATTTTGTATATAAATCATACAAAAGCTGCAAAAATCTGTATAGAAAGTCTAATTGTAGTACAAATTCGCGATTAATTAGTGATTGATTTCTAACAGATATTTTAGTAATAAATATTGAAAAATAATTCAAATCAAGACAAGAATATCAGATATCAATTATATTAAACTATTAATTATATAATTATAATAACCACTAAATTATAGTAATAATTGTGATAAATAATCAGCAATAGTTTGGCGACATTTATGAGTAGTAATTAATTAATTAAACATTAATTATAATTAAACCAATAAATAATA